AAAGTTTCATAGTATGAGATTATATACACAGAACAAAAGCACAATGACAAGGGAAATATCTTTGAATAATCATAATATTCATATAATCATAATGCATCACAAATTGATTTTGTTGTCGTTGTTTTTGTTACTTGTAAGCCTGAGGGATGAAACGAGTTAAATTCAATGAGAAAAAGAGGAAAACAAAGGAGATTTAATAAAGCCTTGCATTTGGATCCTCATCTCTGTTGTTACAATCGCTCATACGGTTTTATGTTTCATGCATTTATTTAAGAAAGAATCTCTTCCTCTGACAATATACTGGATATCTGTACATTAACAACAGACACACACATAACTAACTTAATGTAAAATAACAGAGTAACAGTGAGTATAAAATGAGAGAGCGATCATGTAAATGTAAATGTTTTAAGTGACGGAAATGTCACATTGTAGATTTGCTTTACATCTTTTGATACATGCACTTGTCAATCACGTTTATGATTAGAAACACATGAATCATTATGGATGAGTTTAATACAAATATTATTATGTTTGTAGATCTTAAACTGAAGAGCCAGACTGACTCATCTGAGCTTCTTCCTCCTCTGTTTCACCTTTAGTATTCAAATGATCATGTTGTTTTATTTAAAGCAACACGAATGTTTTGATTGTAAAGTCTGAGTCTCTTCCAGCTGTATGTATTTCTGCTCACAGACACAGACACAGAGGTGAAGCTCTCAGCTGATGTTCACTGCTCCTCTCATCATCATCTTAAACTATGATATACAGCATCCATCATCCTGTGACGGCTGAACTCTATCAGGGACTCTGTAAGGTGGAACAGAAGAGAAAACAATCAGTGTTCAGTGGAACAAATTACTATTTCAATTACAGATTTTTTAGTAAAAAGAAGTTACATTTACATGATCTTGCATATATATTTCTGAAGCAATATATGTGTTTTAAACACATTTAGAACATGTATTGTTATATATAATATATGTGTTAGTCTGTTTGTGTGGCTCCTATTGAGTCACTATAAAGAGAAACATGCTAATGATTGTACATCAAATATAATAAATGACAAGGAACAAACACAAATGTGATTTTGCCTAAGATCAAAACCTTTAGTTAAACGTTTGAGTAGTTAAAGCTGTTTGTCCTCTAGTTTAAACATGTTTGTATTGGTCTTAGTAAAGAACTGAAAGTAAAGTAAGTGTAAAGTAATGAGACGTGTTGCTGATGAAAGTAAAAACACAGAAGAGACGGAGACATTGATCATGTGATGCTGGAGTCTGCACTGATTTTACCAGTGTTTTCCTACAGTCTGACCAAACCTGTTTTCACACTGACATGATTCACTATTACTGAAGTAATTAATAAAGCAGCTGTTGCTGTATAAAGCTGTGACAGTCTGCTTCTGTTCTCTTTCCTCCTGTGTGTTCAACATTTACTCAACTTTACATTTCATTCAGACACAATGAACCCTCAGGTGCAGTAAAGCTGGATGATAGTCTGATGATCTCTTTCACTAATATTTGACCGTATATATTTATCAGCAGTAACTGAAGATCTCTTTAATATCACAGTGATGTTTGCTCACCTCAGTTCACAGTTTGAGTCTCGTAGCACATCGACGAGCTGCTGCTTCGAGTCTCCAATCATATTATCACTCAGATCAAGCTCTTTTAGAAACTGCAGTGCTTTTGTGTTTCTCAAAGACTGAGTTAAAGAAGAAACATCTGTAATACCACAGCAACTTAGACTGGAAAGAGATAAACAGAGGAAGAGAGATCATCTCACAAACAATCATTAATGTGAAGAAACTGACACAAATATAATGTGACCTCATCGTGAGATATTGAGTATAAAGTGTTTTGTAGTGATTTTACTGATTGTGATTCTTGTGTGTGAATGTTGCTGACCTCAATCTCTCCAGTTTACAGCCTGAATCCTTCAGTACGTCACACAAGTGATTCACTCCTGTGTTTGTTATGTGATTACAGCTCAGGTCCAGCTCTCTCAGGTGTGATGGGTTTGAGTTCAGAGCTGAAGTCAGGACGAGACTCTGTTTCTCTGTAATACTGCATCCACACAGACTGAAGACAGAGAGAGAAAACACAATCAATCAGATCTAAGTTTATATCTGAGTTAAGCACATCATGAGTAAATGAATCAGACTGTAGCTGATTTTACCAGTGTTTTCCTACAGTCTGACCAAACCTGTTTTCACACTGACATGATTCACTATTACTGAAGTAATTAATATAGCAGGTATTGCTGTATAAAGCTGTGACAGTCTGCTTCTGTTCTCTTTCCTCCTGTGTGTTCAACATTTACTCAACTTTACATTTCATTCAGACACAATGAACCCTCAGGTGCAGTAAAGCTGGATGATAGTCTGATGATCTCTTTCACTAATATTTGACCGTATATATTTATCAGCAGTAACTGAAGATCTCTTTAATATCACAGTGATGTTTGCTCACCTCAGTTCACAGTTTGAGTCTCGCAGCACATCAATGAGCTGCTGCTTCGAGTCTCCAATCATATTATCACTCAGATCAAGCTCTTTTAGAAACTGCAGTGCTTTTGTGTTTCTCAAAGACTGAGTTAAAGAAGAAACGTCTCTAATACCACAGTGATTTAGACTGGAAAGAGAGAAACAGAGGAAGAGAGATCATCTCACAAACAATCATTAATGTGAAGAAACTGACACAAATATAATGTGACCTCATCGTGAGATATTGAGTATAAAGTGTTTTGTAGTGATTTTACTGATTGTGATTCTTGTGTGTGAATGCTCCTGACCTCAATCTCTCCAGTTTACAGCGTGAATCCTTCAGTACGTCACACAAGTGATTCACTCCTGTGTTTGTTATGTGATTCCAGCTCAGATCCAGCTCTCTCAGGTGTGATGGGTTTGAGTTCAGAGCTGAAGTCAGGACGAGACTCTGTTTCTCTGTAATACTGCATCCACACAGACTGAAGACAGAGAGAGAAAACACAGTCAATCAGATCTAAGTTCATATCTGAGTTAAACACATCATGAGTAAATGTCATACAGTCACTGATACACAAACAAAATAATGTAAACAGATAATATATGAAGAAATAAACCAAGAGAGGAGCATTTGAGGACACTAGTTACAATTCCACGTCTGGATCCGTCCTCATTTAACAAATAAATGAATTAACCAATGTAAATTAATATAGAGGATTAATGCAGACACAATAGAAAAATAATACAATTAAATGGTCTACTTTTAAATTTTTAATGCAAGAAAATTAAATCAATCAAATCAAATAAATTACTTTAAGCCATTTTAGAGTGAAGTTTAGTCTCTAAATATACTAAATATAAATTTATCTTAATAAAAGATTTAGTGTAGAGTACCATTAGTTCAGTATAAATGTGACTCAGAATAATCTACTGTCATCTGTTAGACTGTTTTTAGTCTGTTTTCACATTTGTCTTGTTTCACAGCAAAGATTTGTCAGATTTCAGTGAGTTTCCATGCTGTTTCTACAGACACAAACCCATGAACTAAGAGTATTTCTGAATCTTTCTTCAGCTGGAGAAACACAGAAGATGCAGGTAGCGCTAGAAATGATGTAACATGAGCCCAGCGATCTTAAACTGAACAGTAAACTTTAATCAGACTGTAGCTGCTGTAGAGTATAATGATACTAACTCTAGTTTCTCCAGCTTGCATTGTGTGTTCATCAGTAGATCACTGAGGCTCTTCACTCCAGAGTCTCCTGGTTTATTCCCTCTCAGATTCAGCTCTCTCAGGTGTGATGGGTTTGAGTTCAGAGCTGAAGTCAGGACGAGATGGACTGAAGCAGCGCAGCATCTTTTACCAGACTGCATACTAAAATAGTGGATTACCACCATATATTGGAATATCACACATCTTACAGCTTCATGTTTATATATTCATATATTAATTTACTTAATTTTTTTTAAATAACATTTTGCGAATAACAGCGGTTGAAATTCAATCCGTGTAGTATTCTAACAACTGGTAAGTAACAATAAGTAAGAACTTTTTTGGGCTCTTTTTAAGGAGAGAGTTATATGATTACCATAAATGATATAATGATGTTCAGGAGTGGGTTAATATTTCAAATTCAACACACAC